TTAAGAAAGAGAAAAACTACGTTGGGGAATGATATGTCATTTGGTTTTGGCGTCAAACTCACTAAGAAACTATTGTGTGTCAATAAATGTCGCACGGTCTGGACCATTCCTCGTGATATGAAAAATATAAGTATATGAGGAAAGACTACTTGTTGCGAAATTATTTTCAAAACAGGTTTTTAGACGCTGTCCTAAGTGTAAACTCCTTATTGAAGACATAATAAAATACACAGAACCAGCTTCTGTCAAATGTTACATAAACAACGTATAGGAACTTAGTATACACTTATTAAAACATTCGGCTTACAAAATTCAGCCGGTGCTAGGGGGCGTGAGGGATGTTGCACTTATTCATTATCCCTTATGTACAGATTCAATCAATTCAAGTTTACAATTTTCATGTAAGTTTGTTGTGATAAATGCTTCCGAGGGATCACTTTGTTTCTAGATTTTTTACAAGGCTATAAACTAGTACATTTTATTCAATTAGATGCCCGTCGCCAATGTAATAAGCGACACTCAATGATGAAAGAGTGAGGGAGCACCACACTAAATACCGTATTCCGGTACATACCGGACAAGACGCTTGAATAATTAAATGCTAAAATACTTGTATGTATGTTTCTTTTTAAAGGAAGATAATAAAAGGTTTATTATATTCTGTTCTTTTCTAGTTAATACTTTTAAACAGATCATTAGTAAAGGGATACTTAAATACTTAAAAATCTAAAATACACAGTAACAGGATTTGTTTTATCTTGTAATATGGAAATTATATTATATTTCATAGCGCTCGATGAAAACAAATTCTGTATTTAAAGAACTTGAATATTCTCTTTGTACTACTATCTCGAATTTATGAATAAATTATTTCATGTCAATTGACAAAAGTACGAATGAACAAAAAGTTACACCAATCTTTTTTCTATAATGACATGCACAACCTGAAACAGTTATAAATCTGAACAAAACATCTGAAATAGACAATATTGACAGTGAAAAAGTACCTGATACTCTATTATTAATAATTAACGCTAGAACTTAAAACAGTATGGGATTAAAAGCTGAAATAATCATCTAAAATAGACTACCAATATTGAAAGTGGAATAGTACTAGTACCTGATATTCTATTATAAATAATTAGCATTGGAACTCTAAACAGTATAGGGTTGAAAGAGTTAATAATCATCTAAAATAGACTACCATTATTGACAGCGGAAAAGTACTAGACACTCTATTATCAATAATTAACATTGGAACGTTAAAAAAGAGATTTAACAAACATCTATAATAGACTTCTAATATTGACATCAGAAAGGTACCAGATACTGTATTATCAATAATTAACATTGGAACATTAAAAAGTATGGTAAAAATGGATCATAATAAAATGAGAGCTGGCACCTATTAAAATGAAAATTACAATATTTCAAAGGCTTGTGTTAGTGGTACACATGCTTTCATTCTCAATTTATGGAAATGTTAAACTTTAAAGGACCTCCACTCATGTCTAGAACATAGAATTAGAATTTCTTACACAGATCAGTAAAATATCCAAAAGATAATAATTATTATAAATTAGAAATATACTCGGAAATAAATTGAAATTGATGATCTATACATAGCCCGATCTGACTTGAGAATCGTTGAAATGCTTTTCAATTTTGGAACAATTTTAGTGAATAATTTGCATACAAAGTGATTGGCCTAGAGTCTAGACCTACATCAAGGAGAACATTAATCTCCAAAATATTTAATTACAATCTCGTCATGTTAAAAAAACAAAATAAAATAAAAAAGAAAAATCACCGGAATCCCGTTTCTGCAAACATAAGTTAATCTGCCAGAAGTTTTCTATCCCTCACTTTCAAACAAATACTTGATTACATCAGTTTTTTATTGTTTATATTTCCTTATTTTCACAATACACCCTATTGTATTATAGGTACATGCATGTTTGAAGTTCTTTCAATTAAGAAAGGAGTTCCTTTTTAGGTCCAAAAGCTTAAGAAAATAAACGATCAACTTGGACACTTAAAACCGTATCGATGTGAAAAAAGTAATAAAGAAAGCTACTCAATCAGATAAAGAATCAATTTTTACTGGCATTCTTAGTTTACGTGAATTTTTTCATTTTTAGGTGTTTTTTTTCAATAGGAGTGAATGATCTGTAATTTTAAACATACGCTATTGGTCATTTAGTGCTAAAACATCTCGAAACCTCCCAGTCCCGTTTTGTCACTCTCATCATCGGAATATTAAAGATCGTGTAACACATTTTTTATGGTTTTATATCATAAATATAATGATCAAATGAATGAAGATGTATCAATATTGTAACTTCCAAAAGCATTATTTGTAAAGATATCATCAAATTTACATTTCACGTTAATAAAGGAGGTAATTGGAAATTTATTTTCTATAAAGTCTAAGTCAATTTTTTCAATAAGAAATTAATGCATGATTTTTAATGACTACATATAATGTGGACAAATATTTGTAGTACACATTTTAAACATTTTTCGATGTTTGAAAATTGTGTTCTAGAAGCATAATGATATACATATATAAAATTTCACTTACAGGATCTTTAAATTACTAGAGGTAATTAAAAGTAAAATGTACTTGAGAATCTATTTTTATTCTTTCCGCAAATGATAATATCTATAGTCAAGATCATACAATAAGCTGTTTTACATTAAGAAATCAAAACACAAACACAGTTATACGGTTATGATCTGTGAAATCTGATCCTGTACCGAATATTCTTTACAAAGTTTTTGACAATGTGCGTTTACGATGATATACTACATTCTGTTGACCACATCTTTCATGTTTTACTGATTAAATTCGTTAAATAATAATGTTTTGCATGCTTTAATCGTCTTGACACATTTCTATTTCCACGCAATTACTTCCGATAAAAACGAAAGTTTACTTTTCAGCCAAACGATATTTAAGACGCAAAAGCACTCAAGGATACAAACAGCTAAACAATGAGGTAAGTCAGAACATTTAAGATGGCAATAACGATATTTTTTTTTTTAATTTTTACATAAAATTATTAAGTTTATTTTTAAATGACTTCATGGGATAAGAGTTTTCAATAATGTCACATCACCAATCCTTCTGTATGTACATGTATACTTCACGACTATGTCAGTAAGTGAAATTGTATATAGTGAGTATATGTATATCATAAAATATTATTAAACTGAACTAAACGAACATTCTTTTGTTTTTGTTTTGATAGGTTACGGTGATAGAAGCGATCTGGATCCTGACAACGATCCCGGATACATTATTTTTTCTTTAGTTGTTCTGATAATACTTCTGTCGTGTATGTTTCTTTTTCTTTTTTCTTTTTTTTCTTTTTGTTTTGAACCACGTTTAAGGCCTGTTTATTTACATTTTCCTTTTTACATAATACATTCATTTTACATTTAATAAAATAATAACAATAAGATAATAAAATGAACAAAACAGTTTTTATCATGATACAAATGTCCATTCTAAATCACTATGAACTCTTTCTTTTAAGCAACTTTATACGCGTATCCAAATGATACATTTATATTATATTTTATCAATATTTGAAACAAAATATGGAAAATTTTCCCGTTGCAGACCTATTACATTTATCTAAGCAGGATATATATTTACTCAAATGAATCAATTTCAGGGAAATATTACTTACAGCGAGGGGATTCCCTTTGATTTTCTTTCAAGAAATCAAAATATTGGATGTATGTATGTATAATGTTTTGCTCTAAGATCTAATTTGCTAATAAAACAAGCATCCTATTGCACAATTTAAAGATATTTCGCCCGAATCATTTCTTTAATAAATCTTAATTGACATCCCTTTATGTACCAAATAGCTACCAGGGTCTTTATTAAATGACGGTCAGTCTTCGTGTGTGGAGGTCATAAAATTTTAAAATGGGAGTCAAATATTATCACCGGGGATCCAATATTGTTTTCATATAATTAGCGGTCGTCATATTGATATGGGTGTCACTCTACTTCATTACAACGGTTTTTAGTTTTGATTCACAACCATTATTATATCAACGCTTCACGATAGATTAGATTGCGAACGTTCTGGATATACAAACCAAACCAAATACTTGGTTGTTATGCATTGATTAAAATTTAATTACAAACAGATGAAACACGTGACAAGATCAATAACAAGGGCATGTTTTATGCAATTGATGTTAAGAAGCCTTACTCGTTTATATAACACACATTTAATATACTATAGAGACGGGACTTTTCTGTGATTTTGATACGGTCGTTGTTTGATTAAATTTATATACCTGTTGCTAATGACAAAAATATTTCAGTTTTAATATCATGGCTTTAACTGCTAAAATTGTAATAATTAACGCTGTTTTATTCGGAATAGTTTACTCAAACAAATGTGATCCTTTTAAAATAAGCAAGGAAAATCTTAACAAAGCCTTGATTGGTCATTCTGTTCTCGAAGTTAATGATAAAAACCATCACGATTGTGCGCGAACCTGTATGTCTATGTCCGTCTGTAAATCTATCGACTTTGACAGAAACGAGCACGTGTGTAAATTAAACGATGTTGACCAGTCGTCCGTTGATCCATCGGAGTTTGAAACAAAAACTGGCTCTATTTTCTCTGATATCAGCGAATGGCCTAGCGTAAGTTATTGTTTTTATACCTACAATGTTTGGAATGGGAACGGAAATGATAAAAACATTATACCTAGGGGCTTGGGTGTAAAGGATAATGCTCAACATCTGAAATTTATTTATGAAGAACATCCTAACACATGTTTCCTATCTCCATGTCTGTAGAGTGTAAACTATTTTTTGTGTGAAAATATTATTGACACCAAGGATCATTTTTAAAATTTCCGAAAAACTATATAATATTTGATCTTACAGAAGTATGTCTGTTTCAGTATAAAAGCTGTTTAAAATTAAGTTATTAAATTAAGCCATAAATAAGGTTGAAAATAAGTACATTTTCTTTCTATTTACAGGCAATGGTTGGGAGTTGTAGCTCAAGGCCGTGTAAAGCAAACCAAAGGTGTTTTAAAAAAGGTGCTTCACATGTGTGTCAAGATATAAGTACAAGTACGTGAATATTTATATTGCGCATGTTCAGTTTCTCAGAAAAATTAAAAGTTATAAAATGTTCAAGAAATATTTACACAATATTATTATTATTGATTGATAGATGCATTGTCCTGAATACTATTGTTTTTAATGACATGTACAAAGGTATACTGTATACTAGATAGAAGATAACTGTTAAATCCGACCTACTGAAAGGTAAACTGTTAAATCCGACCTACTGAAAGATAACTGTTAAATCCGACCTACTGATAGGTTTGTGTGCTATTACCATTAAGATAAAAAAGAAAAGCAAACAAAAAAGAAAGCAAGAAAGAAAGAAAGGAAAAAGAGAGGAATAAACTTCAGTATGCACATGCCACTTTTGTCAGCAAGAAACTATTGTTTCACAAAGATAAACCTTAGGATATTTGATCAGACTTTTAATGCATATCGTTATTATATTTGTAAAAATGATCGTTCAGAAATGGGCCTTTGTAATGCTATCATGATAGTTTAGATAATACGTTTTTTTTTCTTATTATCATTTCCAGCTTGTGATTTTGATCAGAAAATTGAAAACGGCGAAGTGCAAATTAGTGCACCTGGCAAAAACAAGTTCCTCGACGTAGCTTTAGTAAAATGTGACAAAGGATATGGTCCCAGTCAACAAAACGTGAAATGTGAGGCTTCGGGAAAATGGCAGCATGCAACGTGTACAAAATGTAATGTATTTAAATATCATTGTTCTTTTCTTATCTTAGTTTTTTTTTCAAAATTAGCCATGACAGTGGAGTAAGAGTTGCTTGGCGACTTTTTATTAAAGTTCTTTTTATTAAAGTCGGTGTTAAAAGAACTGCGTTGAATGATTGCGCACAATAATCTCAAACCAGACATTTGATACATATCTTATCATGTCAAACATATCTTAGATTTGGCAAGATTTATCAAACATGTATAAATTTACATCATGTCAAATATGTATAAATTTAAATCAATTATATATACGTCACACTTTTAATAACTCTTTTTTTACACTACTTATGGAATTATTGGTGACCAGACTTGTGTGAATCATTCTTACTTGTTAAAAATAAGTAGTTTGTTCTTTGCCTAGTACCAAGTGATTGTAAAGAAGCCCTTGATGTACTCCCTGTGGCAAAAAGTGGACAATATGAGATAGAACTTTGGAAATCTGGGAAGATTCTGACTGTGAATTGTGACATGGAAACCGAAGGCGGAGGTTGGACGGTATGTAAATTCTTTTATTTAAATGTTTGATAAGCAAATTGTTCTTTCCTGGTTTACATACTTACGTTATAAATTGTGAAATATATTTACTTTAAAAAACATTTCAATCTTAACAATTGACTCATGATTCGCTTTTCTTTCTATCATTACGAACAATTTGTCAGTTGTTGCCAAATTGACATCAATATCACTTTTTATTCCGATTCTCAACCGCACTATGGGCCAATTAATAACAAAGAAGATATATGTTGTTTTTTTTTCGATATTACCACTTACTGATGATACATTCTTTTCATCACCATTCAAATATAGTCTTGCTGCTGAGAAAATTGTATCATTACACTGTGAAATTATAAAATATGATTTCACTGTCTACTGAAAGGCGTGTAATGTGTATAACCATATATTTAACTACAAAAGTTTAAGATTAAGGACTTTAGTCCATCTTTCACTTTGAAGTGACCTTTAACCCTACCCTTAGCTATGTAAAACTGACGTTAAACAGAAACACACTTAGTTTAGTTTTTAAGTAATAATTATATACATAGTTTGTAAGCGCTCAACTTGTTTGGATTTCTTCTAGATATTTCAAAGGCGAATGGACGGGTCAGTGGACTTTTATCGCAATTTTACAGAATATGAGAATGGCTTTGGGAACATTGGTGGTGAGTTGTGGCTAGGTATGTAAGAAAAGCTTTGATTCCTTGTAGCATTGGCATTTTAAAACAAACGAAGTACATTAGTTTTCTTTTAAAGTATTACATGTACTATATCGTATTGCGTAACATCTTACAGTACACAGGTAAAGCATTATTTTCAGTCATGTTTTTAATCATTCACCAAGGGTACTACAAAATAAAATGGGCGCAATATTATGAAACACCTGATATTTGTTACAAGCATAATATGGAGATTATCCCTCATGTACAGACTCAATCAAATCGAGTCAACAAAGCTCATGTTTGTTTGGATTACTGCTTCCGAGGGATCACGCTTTACATCACAACAGCTGGTGTCAAGGTCAGTGCGGCAGCTGTAAAAATCCCCCTTTCTTCACTTCAGTGTTGTTATATTTTTCTGGTCCTTCGGGAGCAAAGATTCCAGCACTAACAAGAATTGCAAATTTAGCATCCCTCAATCCGGTGCTAGAAGACCCGAGGGATATTCCACTTTTTTCATTATCCATAATCAACAGTCTCAGTCAAACCGAATTTGCAATTTTCATGTAATTTGGTTTTGTTATGCTTCCGATGGATCACCCTTTGTCAAGAGTTTTATAAACATAAGTTGCTGAAGTGTGTTGTTGAACTATATTGATAAACATAAGTTGTTGAAGTGTTATGCATAAGACAACCGAGTGAGATAAATAAAACTTCATGATTCTATGATTTTAAAGATCCTGTAACTCAAATTTCTTTATGGTTTTATATTATAATTGTATAATAGTTGGGGGACCTTTCTGTTGTAAAAGTGTCAGAGTTAAATCGTATACATATACATGCACAGTGCGTTAACTGGAGTGAATGTATCAGATACCCGCATTCCAGAGAATGCCAGTTGATTGGCTCATTTTTGCTGGGGTTTACTTATTATGACGGCAGAGAAAGAAAAGGCGATAGAAATATCATACACTTTTTTCTGGGATTTTATATTGTGAAAACAGGAAACGCTTTGTTATGTTTGACTATGATACAAAAGAGAAAGAACACCAAAACACTCGGCAATCTAATTTATACTTGGGGGCTACGCCCCCTCGTACAAATCCGATAGCCTCGTGTTTCGGTGCTCTTGCTATTACAGATTATGCTCAAATGAAGATTTATTAATCTTTTGAGTTCAAAAAAGCATTATTTGTAAAGAAATTACGAATTTACATTTCAAGTTAATAAAGCGATGTAATTTGAAATATATTTTCGATAAAGTCTAAGTCAATTTTTTCAATGAGAAATGAATGCATATATTTTAATGATTACATATAATGTGGACAAATATTTGCAGTACATATTTAACATATTCTTAGATGTTCGAAAATTGTTTTAGAAGCATAATTATATATATATAACATTTCACGTAAGTGTCGTAACAACCTTAATTTAAACATACAAGATCTTTAACAGATGGTAATTTTGTTGTATGAAGTGTTGTTGAAGACTGATTTGTACTTTCATTTGATGTATTTTGACAGGTTTAAAGTATATACAAGAACTAGCGGAACAAGGTTCTACGGAGGTTCGTCTTGACATGACGTCAGGTCGTGATAATACAATAGGACATGAAACTTGTCAAGACTTTAAGTTAACGGAAGGAACACAATATAAACTAAACATTGGGTCATGCACATGTATGTGAGACTTTTATGCTGATTACAACTTTCTTCAAATCTTATACTTGTTTTGTACTTTCACTTGTTTTGTTGTATCTTAATTAAATCACAAAAGCTCTAATACAATACAATCGGTTGACAGCAGTTACAGTATAAGGAAAAACCAATTAATTTGTTCAAACTTAGAATAAGACTTAACATAATCTATAACAAATATTTGATTCGCATTTAAACAGATAGATTATACAGTTTAAAATTTTACATATTCCGAGCAAACACATGAGAGCAAATTTGTGTGACATATATCACAATAAAATAGAATAATATTACAAACGTATTGCCAATTTTATTATATTTACAACAGAATCTATTCTTGACTGAAATTTCAATGTTGCTGTATTTTGCCTGATATAATATACTAGTACGTGTTTCTATAATTGTATAATCTCTGTGATGAACCGAATGTGTGAGGTGTTTTGTATGACTGTGGGGATAGTAACTCATTGTTTTTTTTAAATTTAGGCTTGTCAACATGCAAACTGCCTTGACACTTGCCAATGACATTGCCAGAACTAATTAATATTGTCTTTTTACTCCTAGATCAAAATTCTGGATTTGCTTATAGTAATCAAATGCCATTTTCAACTTACGACCGTGATCTCGACAGAAGCGAATCTTATAACTGTGCCGTGATAAGACATGGAGCCTGGTGGCATCACGCTTGTAATAAAGTCAACCTAAATGGAAAATATGTGACGCCTGGTAGTTATTCAGATGAAGGACACTGGCATTCTGAGTTTGATAACTTGTATACATTAAGAAGGTCATCAATGATAATAAGAAGAAAATAAGAAAAGTAATTAGATGCAGAGCTCATAAATTGAAGAATTTAATGATCGTACTCAAAAAGAACATTAATGTAATTATTGGGGTTTGTTTTTGCATCAGAAATGGTGTGACTTTACGAAGTCTTATCTATGACTGAAAACTGCTGTAAGACATTGGCATTGTTAGTTATCGGATTGATGACTTAGAATCACTGACAGCATATTATCACGTGACAGCATTAAGTCACGTCACCGAATATAACTATGTTACCCATGGAATTGGGAACTTCGGCGATGTTTTGTTAAGTGCATGACTTCTGGAGTTATTAAATAAATGCAAACAATTACTGTCTAGGATGATATATTTAAACATTTAATCGCCGTAATTACGTTAGACATTTGACATATAGGTGTCCAATCACTCATATAAGCAGTTTTGTTATTATGCATTATTATTCATCAGTCCATTACACGTATCTTGTTGCATGTTTTCACAAATTAATATTGAAGTGTGTATGGTTATATCCTTTACATTTTATATATATTTTCATCGTTTATGATTGGTATTTGAAAATTGTAAAAACAATTGTATATTGTATGGTTCTACGTTAATCGCCTAGACCAATATACAATTGTATTGTATATAGTTCTATACCAAATGTGCTCACAGCTATATATTTTCATTGTTCATCATGTACAGGTATTGTGTGAAAAACTGTAAAACAATTGTCACTATATTTTATGCTTCTATGTTAAATGCCTAGACGAATACATACTTTCATGTTGAATAATTGTTGTGTAAAAGCTTTAGAACAATTGTATATTATATGCTACTACATGATGTGCATAGAAAATATATACTTTCATCGTGAATAATTGTTGTGTGTAAAACAATTGCATATCAATATATGCCTCTGTATTATATACATTTTTATGGTATATGGTGAAGCTTGTAAAGCAATTGTATTTTGTATGGTTCTATATCAAATGTGTTGACAAATATATTTTTTCGTCGTTCATATGGTTTATTTCATCGTAAATAATTGTTGTATGTAAAACAATTGCATATCAATATATGCCTCTGTATTATATACATTTTATGGTATATGGTGAAGCTTGTAAAGCAATTGTATTTTGTATGGTTCTATATCAAATGTGTTGACAAATATATTCTTTCGTCGTTCATATGGTGTACAAGTATTGTGTGAAAACTGTCAATCAATTGTATATTGTATGCTTCTTCATTAAACATCTTGAAAAAATATACTGTTGGTGTCTGTATATGATTACTGTGTGTGAACTACTATCGATTATCTATTACTTCTAGATATAAAAATGTTTAAAACGTATTGTCTGTGTAAACGTTTTGATTTGTCGAACTTGGGATTGCAATTTCCCGTTAATTTAGATGTGGTAAATAATAACTTATTTAGACTGTAACACCCTTTCGTCTGCAAAAGTCAACGGATATTTGTATACTAGTATATTAACATGAGATAACAAGATTTAAGAACTAGAAATTCTAAATTTGTTCAGTTCTTCCCAAAATATCAAGCTTCAACTGGACAGATAACAGACGAAGAAATGCATTGTGTGTGCGCGCGCGTGTGCGCGTGTGCGTGCGTGTGTGTGTGTGTGATTTTACATGTTATATACTCATGTATCAATCGATGTTATTAAGACAGTCATATTGTATCTAAATTTAAACAGATCTAATAAAGACTGTGATATCAATTTGAAATATCAACCGACTTGATAAAAACTGTGATGCCCTCAGCATCATACACGTTTTCACAACTTTTCAAAGTATTCCCCATAATATTTGATGCATCGCCAGTGGCGTTAACCCACTTCCTAAATGTGGCCCTGTAAAAGTTACTTGGAATTGTACGAATGATTCCGAACACTGCATTCTGAGGATCATGATGTGTTTCGAACTTCCGTCCCTTCAACCATGTTATTTATACTGTAATATTGTATTGTGATAGTAATCGACCCAATTAATTAGACTCTAATATTATATTTTAAAATTCAAACAATCTTATTAAAACTGCGATGTTATCTTTATGTATCAGACCACCTTATAAATAATTCGTACTTTCTTTAAATATAAACTGATTCAGATATTCAGACTGTTATCTCTCCCTGCTTAAATTGTATGTCTGCTTTTCTATACATAAGATGTCTTGATTTCGAGTTATTAATAAGAGCAATATATAATATAGGTCAAATGTCTTGATTCCGAGTTATTAATAAGAGAATGATGTATTATAGGGCATATGTCTTGATTCCGAGTTATTTATAAGAAAATGATGTAATAAAGGACAGATGTCTTGATTCCGAATTATTTATAAGAGCACGATGTAATATAAATCAGATGTCTTGATTCCGAGTAATTAATAAGAGCATGATGTAATATATGTCAAATGTCTTTAAAGGCTTTTCACTCAAATCGGGCTAGGAAAAGCATAACAAGAGCGATCAGTGATCACACGTGTCGCCTCATGATGACCAATTTCATATGTTGGGACAAGTTTTGTGACAGACGGACGGACAGACAGACAGACAGACGACGGAGAAGTGATCCCTATATGTCGCCACTACTCCGTAGAGGCGACACAAAAATACGATTTTCAATTTATTTCAAAGTATATTTCTAAACTATCTTTTCATATATTTTTGTTTAAAGTGCCCCAGCTCATTCATGTAAGAAATTCCAATGTTATGATTTTAGGCTTTTAAACCTCAGTGGAGTCCCTTTAAGCCATCGGGCTGCTCTTCTTTGCACATTTTCGATTTGACCTATTTGAGTTTTGGTGTGGGAAGACCATACTTCGGTAACGTATTCAAGCTGGGATCTGACTAACGTCTGGTAAGCGATGGACTTAATGAATTGGGATTTAACCTTTATGTTTCTGCGAAGGAATCATAGGGTTTGGTTTGCTTCCTTGGATATCCTGTCTATATGGGCATCCCACGTAACGTTTTCTCATATATCCACGCCTGGGTATTTAGCTGAGTTAACCGATTTTAATTGGACTCCGTGAAGGTAGTATTGTGTTGGAATAGGATGTTACCTTTTTTGCGACGTGGATAAATTGACACTTGGAGGGGTTAAATTCCATATCCCACTACAACTCCCACTTTTCTAACCGATTTAGGTCATTTTGAAGGGTGATAGAATTGGTTTGCAGACGTCAGAGCAATGTATGTTGCAACATCGTTTGCAAACAAGCGGACCTGGGAATTTATGTTATGTAGTAGGTCATTTATACAGGTGAGAAATAGGAGGGGTCCTAGAACATAGCCTTTTGGGACACCTGAGGATACTGGGATGGGGTTTGAGCAACTGCTATTCTGTCAAACAGGAAACAGCAAATAAAAATAGGCAATATTGTAAGTTCATGGGCTAATATATCCAAAGGTGTCCCTCAAGGATCAATCCTGGGCCCTCTACTGTTCAACATTTTCATAAATGACATATTTTTCTTTATAAAAAAATGTACTTTATATAACTATGCAGATGACAATACCCTTTCTTTTCGGACTAAACATTTTGGTGAACTAATATGTACCTTAGAACAAGAAAGTAACTATCTTATAAATTGGTTTCATTTTAATAAAATGCAAGCTAACCCCGATACATTTCAAGCTATTGCTGTAGGGAAGAAAACTTTCACTAAATCCCCAGCTTTCAAAGTTAATACTAGTGAAATAACATGTGACGAAATTGTTAAACTCCTTGGCATCGACATTGATCAACAATTAAATTTTAATTTTCACATAAGCAATATATGTAAAAAAGCTGCTTATCAGTTAAACATCCTCAAAAGAATAGGTCACAATTTAAATCAAACAAATAGGCTAACAATCTTTCATACTTTTATTTTGTCCAATTTTAATTTTTGTCCTATGGCATGGCATTTCTGTTCAGAAAATAATACAAACAAGATGGAAAAACTACAGGAAAGAGCACTCAGATTTGTCTATAATGATTTTAATTCAAGTTATGAAGATATGCTGATAAAAAGTTTATATACCAACTCTAAAAATAAGAAGAATGAGGGCTATGGCCATTGAAACTTTTAAAATTTTTCATGATATGTCTCCTGCTGTTCTGTCTGACCTTATTGTCAAGAAAACTACTGGTATTAATTTTAAATATTCAAATATTTTGCAGATCCCGCAAGTCAGAACTACAACTACTGGTAAAAAATCTTTCAGGTATGCTGCACCTGCTTTATGGAATACTCTACCCGAAAATTTTAGAAAATGTTCAAATTTTGCTCAGTTTAAAAAGTTAATTTCATCCTGGAATGGTAAACAGTGTAAATGTATTGCTTGCAGCTAACTTCTATATCTTGATTTACTCCACTTTTTATTTATTTTTCTGGGTATGAACATTTTCTTTTGGGTCACATTTATCATTTAGCTTCTTCAGTTGTTTTTTTTTCTTGCTTGCTTTAAATGTGTTTTTGCTATTCTTCCCTGCTTATGTTAATATTATCACTTAGTTTCTAATCATTTTTTATTGTAGCTGTTTTATCTTTGTTGATCTTATACTTTATGTTATTTACAGTCGGTTATAAAAGCTCCTAGAGCTTATGTTGTTATGTTGAAAACTTGCCGACTTGAAATAAAACTTATCTTATCTATCTTATCTTATCTTATCTTAGCACAACAGACTGCTGCCTACTATCAAGAAAACTTCTTGCCCATTTTAAAGTTTGACCTCTGATTCATGTATTTTCAGCAGTACTTTAAATTCTCATGGCTGACCTTGACGAAAGCCTTACTGAAATCTTAAAGAAACAGATACACTTGTTTTTTTCTCATATACTGAGGTGACTAGGTCATTAACCAACGTTGCAAGTTGCGTAACACATGACCCTTTCCCCCTGAAACCATGTGAGAGGAAGTCATGGGTGGTGAAGAGTTTAACAATAGAGGAGAAAACTATTTGGTACCACTGCGAAAAATATACTGATATACGGGAATATACGGTCCCGTATTTTTGACATATAC